TTCCTTTTTTTTTTTGTGGACTGTGGTTATAAATTAAATATATATTAAACAGCTTTGATAGGCACATATATAATATATATATTTGAAGTGAAAATTGTAAATATAGTTTTTAAAGCGTTTGAGACCTTATTGTATACAGTTAAATTTTGCACTTTTTGCTCTGTTTCGAAAACTAAGGTAAAATAGAATCCAAACAGATAAAGAAACTGAACTCTGCAGAGCAAAATGGAGTTAAAAGTTAAAACAAACACTAAAAAAAGTCTTACATAAATATGAAAGTTAAATAGCCAAACTGTGAACGAATATTTTAGCTTAAAATACTTGAAAACAAGGACAAATTATTTAGATATATATATATATATATGAATTCATGCCCGCGTCTTGTAGGAATCCCCGTCGACTCAGTCTTTTGATTTCCCTGAAAATTTTGCACCATAATATAAATGTTTGAAAGGTGCTACATTACAGTAACAAATTAAAAACGATGCAGTTTGCAGATAAACTGGAATAATTAATTGATTAAAAAAAAAAGTTATGATATTTATAAAGTTAATATATATATATACACCAATATATGAATTGTTACCAAAATTGCTCTTGCAATTAAAAACTCCGTTATCTTTTGGAATTACTACAGAAATAAGAACCGAATCTCCTGTTTCACTTTCATGTTTTATTCACTTGAATGACTGATCTACGTATAAATTAATCCGACATCATCATATACACATGTCATTTATCCGAATGAATTAAATTAAATACACGATGGAACATGAAATCTCGACCCATATTTAATCAGTCAGGTATAATTAATGTACAATTATGAATACTTAAAATACATATTTAAAACTATATATATGTGTGTAATGATATACCATTTCCATTGGCTGCGTTGAAAATACGGAGGTGAGGATCCACAGGAAGACCAATGGCTTGGTACCTCTCATCATACAATGTGTACCTACATACATAAAATCACCATTTTAATTTCATTTTAAGTTCTAAACAATTTGATAATTATTAATTAGGATATATATAAACCAACACAAATGTGACAAAATTAATATAAGTAAAATAATAATAATAATAATAATAATTAATCCAGTTAATAATTAGTTTGTACCCATGGCCAGAAGTAGTGGTTGATGAGCTAAACCCTGGAATTGGATCACCTCGAACAAAAGAAGTCCAGCCTCTTGAATTAGGAGTCATTATTATTTCATCTTGCTGGAACAATATATTATTATTTCTCTGCATACATAATACAAAATTTGATTAATTACGATATAAAATTATACTACTAATTAATTACTGGCCCATAATAAATGAATTAGACTTTGAAATTCATACAATTATATATATATATTTGTGACTTTTATTTATTTAAATTAAATTTACGTAGAAATAAATACAATTAAGCATGCACAGGCACAGCACACACCTGATCGGGTCCGGATGGTTGACCAAAGTTAATTGAGCTGCTATAGTTACCAATAGCCAGAGTGGGCCCACTAAGCAAATCGCCTCCTGAATTTCGCATACCTTGAATTCCCATTGACCTTCAAATTATTGGCCAAAAATTATACTACTATTATACTATTATTAAATTAAATAAGGTAATAACTATTTTTTTTTTTTTCAGAAAACATTTATTATATTATAATTTATATATTTACCTTAAGTTGGGAGTAGAATTTTCAAGCATCATGGTTGAATACCCCTCGTCTTGTGAGTTCATGAGATTTGAGTTTGCAAACTGCATGCCACAGTCAAGACAAGGGTGTGTTAGGAAATGTCTAAATCAATATTTTGAACTAATTATTAATTAGTAGATACGCAATAATTAATACTTGGTTTAAATAATTAATACTAAATTTGTAAAAATATATATTATTCTGAAAATGAAAATGAAAACCATAAGAATTTTAATTAAGTTGATAAATGAAAACACAAAAGTGAATAGAATGGAACTTGTTAAGTTGGCAATGTAAATATATATATATATATATATGCATAAGTTTATAAAATTCAACTATTAGAATTAATATAAATAAAAGCAATATATATGCATAATTTTATAAAATTCAACTATTAGAATTAATATAAATAAAAGCATGATATTTTATAATATAAATATTTATATTATTAGAATAATATTCAATCTAATATTTATACCCACTCATATAAAAATTTGATTTCAATATTTTTAAATAAATACCTGAGGTCTTGACAGCAGAAGTCCCATTTGTGATGCTTGATTAATGTTGTGTAAGAATGCAAGATGCGACTGCTGAAAGTCCCCTGCCTCTCCCATTCTACATTAACATATAATATTATTATAATTATTGTCCAACTAATTAACATCAACTAAATGACAAATTAATTATACAAAAATAATAAATAAATTCTGATATATATATTTTACAAAACATTAATTTCCAACAAATATGAATTATCATCACTAATCATGCACAATCTAATTAACAACATTAGGCTAAATTTTTGTGATCTGCAATAATATTATTAATTACAAATTCAACAAATAATTTACTAATTAAATGTACCTAAATTGTCTTTTCCCATCTTGTTGGGGAGTGATTAATGGCATCGTCGTTGGATTAAACTCGTGATTAATTAGGAGTGAAGAGTTTCTTGGAGACCCTCCTTCCATTTGCTCCACTTACACAAAATCGATAAATTCCTAATTAAAAACTTATGGAAAAATTTAATTTCTTTTATCCATAAATATTGCATTTTTTTTTCTTCTAGTGAAATAATAATATACGGAGAATTAAATTTACTGATCTAGCTTAGTTATTATTCATGTGTGTGCAGCTTTGATTTATTCCATATAGTAACATAAATAAATAAAAAATAAATAAATAAATAGAGAATGGAATAAATAAAGTACTTAATTATCCACACCTTGGAATTGTTTCACGTTGCTCCAAAAGCCTTGAAAACTGCAAACAAAATTAAAAATAATTAGGATTTGTCTTACAAAAATTATAAGAGAGAAGAACGAGAAAAATGAATATATATCTTTGGCAAATGACACACCTCAAAGAATAGTTTTTGCACCTCCTAATAATTAGTTTATAAAGGTGACTATAATAACAACGGTATAAATATTTGAAACAATTGCAATTATTGTTATCTTTGTTTTGCTATGTATTGACGTGATCTGCGTTGTAATATAAGTATCGGGGCATAAATATGAAATTATTAACTACACATCTATTCCATACCTAAACTGCAATAGTAAAACTATTAATAGCCACAGCTAACTACTTACCTTATACATTTGAGGTGAATTAGACCAACTCCAACCGTACTCCAAAACTCAAATTATGAGGTGAAAATTGTTAAGTCAATAGTGGAGGTTGCAGCTCCATTTCTTTGACAGCACACCAAAGAAGAAGAAGAAAAAGGCAGCTCACAAGTCTTGAAATTGTGCAGCAGCTAGGATGCTCATTTGTTCACATTAATAGTACACAAATGTGGAAAAAATTGTGTTCTTCTTCTTCTATAAATAGCTAGCAATTGTGATGAACAAATATCCAATCCAAGTGAAAAAGAAAACATAACAAGAGAGATAGAGAGAAAAATAGTAGAGAGAGTGTATTCATACGGGCTTGTGTGAGTTGTAACATTCGGTTTATCCTCTTTTTCTAGTTCATTCTCCTGGCTTGGTTCGCCCCCAGACGTAGGATTTAATCCGAACTGGGTTAACAAACTTTCGTGTCTTTTATTGATTTCACATTGGTGTGTTATTATTATTCCATCTTATCCGACCTTATTTCCCAACAAAAATTGCTCCAATGGTACTGCAAACGCATTCCCAAAATGCGATATACACCTTCTCTCTCCTCCCAGAAACGCAAATTTGCGTTTTGACGCAAAATATGCGTTTGTATTTCACAAAATTGCAATGTAACCCTCTATCTCTCAAAGTATGTATGTATGTTCCAATTAAAAAACTATATATATATATATATAGGTGTAAAAATTGTATGTATGTGCAATTAAAAAATATATAGATAGTATATATATAATATATATGTGTAAAAATTATATTTTATATATTTTTCAAGTTTCTGTTAAATTGTTATCATGATGAAAATTTTTATTTTATATATGTATGTATATAGTAAATTTACTATATTTTATATAGTAAATTTAATCCAATATGGTGAAATTTATGTCATCATATATATTTGATAGTAAATTTAATCCAATATAGTGAAATTTATGTCACACACACACACACATATATATATATATATATATATTTGTAAATGAGTATTTCTCAAATATTGTAAAAAATATTCATACAGACACTCTATATAATATAGTTAACAAAAATATTATAAGAAAATATTATTACTAAATCTATATAAAATAAGCTTATAAAAAATGAAATTTAAAACAATTGATATAAAATTTAAAACAATAGCGTAAATAAGTATATTATAAACCAAAATTAGTCTTTGTCTTCTCTATGTAAAAATATTTTTATATATGTAGTTTTATGCATAAGAATTATTAATTTATAATTAATTTTCTTTTTGGTTTTTTAATCAATTTTTTAATATTAATATGTTCAAAATTTGTAAAGTTGTAAAATATATGGGTGGTATTGAAAATTTGTAAAAGTTGATGTAAAATGAGAATATTCTTGGAATATTCTTTTGCGTTTGAGAATGAGTTTTTCGGTTGGAGATGAATTACTGTTTGATGTGACAGTTACTGCAAAATGAGTTTTAGAATGAGTTTTTCGGTTGGAGATGGTCTTAACTATATATATCACTTTCACCAAACAATTATTGTATCAAACAGTTTATCGAGACATCAATAATTATCCACAAATTATATATTGACACGTATTTTAAAATAAATATATTTAAGACATATGTCAATATATTATTAATTCACGGATGACTTCAAAAGGAAGTATACGCAGGCTTCTTATGATTTATGTTAAACGCATGATTTTGCCACGGATACATAGGATGACATGATGGGTCATATCGAGCCATCAACAGTTTTACAAATAGCGTTCTGAAACATGTTTTCAAACAAATATATTTTGGACGCGCCTGTGTTAATGTATCAATTCATGAATGACTGCATACATTTTAAATTTATTATAGGTAAATTATCATGTTTGTATTATTTGGTACCATATATCTACCAACAAATTAAAATTCTTGATGCCTATTTTCACTCCTAGTGAAATAATATCTTTTATAGCATATTTTCATTCAAAACATATCTTTTATAGCATATTTGGTGTTTGGTGAAATCAAGTAGTACAGATCATAGTGTGATCGTGATAAAAATTTATGTCATTTTTTTTTTTTTTTTTAATTTCAATTTTCTTACCATGGTGCGGTTTTGATTTTTGAGTGTACAATTGTGTGAGGCTATGTTCCATAAAACTAACTGATAAGTTAGTTTATAATTTAAAAGTAATTTTTGAGTTTATAACTTATCGTTTATAATTTATAACTGAAAAGTTAGCTTATATAATAAAAATATTTGGTAAAATAACTGATAAGCTAGATGGAATAAAAATTTCAACGAGTTTATTCAAAAGCTACCCACCAAAAAGTTTAAATGAGATAAGCCCGAACTTTTTAAAAAAAACTCGTCTTACCAATGCTATGTTTGGTGAAAACAAAATGTCGTCAACCCAAAACCAAATCAGTGGCCTTGGACCTGCAAAATCTTACCTCTCGGCAGCCCAAAATGTCGTCCCACCCGAGCCCCTCTCCTTCGGCTCTCTTTCTCTATCCGGCAGCATCCCGAAAGTTCTTTTTTTTTTTCCCTTCGAATGTCTCTAAAATGTCTGAGGACCTCAAATATGCCCTCATACGCAAATTCTCTTTCGGAAAGCCCACCAACGAAACTATTCAATCAAACCTCGTGGGTTTCACTGGATGCAAATTTTTTTTCCTTCAAGCCAGTCATGTCTTGATCAAAGTCAATGACCCAACCACGTCCTCCAATCTTTGTTTGAAACGCGAAATCTCTATTCTAATTTTTATCTACGTTTTTCAAATTAATGGTCCCCTGATTCCCCTGATTTTGATTTAAAAAAAGAACCACCTAATGTCCTGGTTTGGATCAAAATCCCATCTCTCCCCCTTCATTGTTTTGATTTAAAGGCTTTTCTAACAATCGCTAACATCTTTGGCACCCTAATAAAAGTCGATGATGCCGTACTAAATAAAACTCAACTCCAGTATGCTCGCTTTTGTGTAGCCCTCAATCTTGAATCCCCCAATCCAACTAGTATAGCCGTCTATTGCGAAAATAAACGCGTCGAACTCACTGTCGAATTCGAACGCTTGCCAAAATATTGTTCCTATTGCTCTCATGTGGGACATGATGACTCAACTTGTTACATAAAAAATCCAACCCTTCACCCCGCAAAATAACAAGGAAAAAAACCCTCACATTGAACCCTCTACCCATAATTACGCCCTTCTTTGCTCTTCCGACCTCCCCATCTGCTACCCCACCCAATCTCTCCTTTTATTGAACTTATGTAGACCTAGACTTTTTTGGCCTATTTATGGTCGTGACTATATATAGGTTGAGGATCCAACATTAATCTTCCACCTGGGCTGGTGTTTTTTTTTTTTTAAAATAAATAAATAAATAAATTATAAGTTAATTTATTTGTTTATCAAAGGTAGCAACAACATATACATATTTAATTTTGTGGTAAAAATATTTATTCTAGGCTATGTTTGGTAAAACTAACTGATAAGCTAGCTGATAGCTGATAAGCTAGCTTATAGCTTATATGTAATTTTTGAGCTTATAGCTTATAGCTTATGACTTATAGCTGAAAAGCTAGCTTATATGATA